CACTTTTGGACGTCTTATACAAACTCCAGAGCAATAAATATGACTCATGAGTGCACCAGTCGTTGTGTTGACTCGCTTTAAGAGTCACCGCTAGAACTGATGCCTTAGAGTTCCAGCAAAGACTCGACACTATGTATTGGATGTGACCATCACTTGTCTCTGATATGAAATCATTTTTGCAAATAAACTTCCGACTCATATATGCCTTCGCTTTGCCATCGCTTTGCAGTCTTGCGATCCTCTCAAACACGTCATTGCTTTTCATTTTGTTGATCTCTTCAATAGTGATCTTCGAGGCTTTTATTACAAATTTTGTCAGTTCTGGTGAATTAAATGTCTTCAATGGTCTGGTTTCGTGAATATCCATTAAGTCTGAAGTTTGCGTTTCAGTGCTATTCATAGATATGTGTTGAACACCCCTTTCTATATATTCTATGTCATGGGTTTGAGACTCATTTTCTTTGGTTATCTTCTCTCTCCTCCAAACTGATCCAATGGTGACTCCTTCTAAATGGGTATCAGAGAAAGCCATCATCTGTTGGGAACTCTTGTTTAAGAATTGCAACTTTTGTTTGTATGGATTCTGTAATATTCTTGGGTTACTATCGTTACCAAAGTTATACAATGTTAATAAGTTATATGAAAAGTGGAATTACAAATAAGCAAGCTACTTATAATAGGAATTATGTGTGTCATCCAAAACATCCAAATAGATTATATGATGAATTAATTTCTATTTCTAAGTTTTCTATACTGAATGCCAAACTGTAAGAGAATTGTCTTACAGTTAGAGTTCACTTCACTGTAAGAGTGATGAGTGCTATGATAGGCATATAGTGTCCAACAGAGGGCCCAATGAGTGGTTGAGTGAGTGTTGTGTGAAATGACGTGAATTGCAAACAAACACTCATTTGAATCGCGATTTACTCATTCATTGGTGTCTTAATTGGGATCAAGTGTGAAGACAATCGAGTGATTGGTATGGAGTTCGCAGAACTCATCAAAACCCCGAAATTGGATGCAATCCGAGTGGCGTATCCCATCGACCAGTCCATGGAGGCCACCCTTTGCATCACTAGTCACCACCTGATTGTCTCCTCCAGAAGTGACACAACTCAAGAGTTATGGGTATTATAATAGCAATAGTGACCACCAATGACCACAAGTAACCCATGAGACCACCAATTGCTATGTCTTTGTGTGACAGCTGTTGCACTCAATGGTGGACATCGTTGAGCGCAAGCCTAACGTGAACTCCAGCGGCGGAACAGTTGTGCTGAAGTGCAAAGACTTTCGGATCATTGAGTTGGAGATCAACGGATGGATGGAATTCAATAACGTCTGCAATTCGATGGAGTGGTTGTCCAACTTAGACGACCCCCGCCTCCTGTACCCCCACTTCTACCGAGCGATGTATGATTTGGTCGAAAACGGATGGAATGCCTTCCGAATTGAGACCGAGTTCTCCAATCTTCTCATGTTTTCCGACGACTGGCGGATCAGTTATGTCAACAAAGACTTCGCTGTATGTCTGCCATATATGTAGTGTCCCTCCCATTCACTTACAGTCGGGTTGAATGCATTTGCCATTAGGTGTGTCCCTCATATCCGGAAGCAGTGATAGTTCCCAAACCTATTGACGACGACTGTCTCGCATCCATCGCCTCCTTCCGATGTTTGGGTCGGTTCCCAGTTCTCAGTTATTTCCACAGAACTGCTAAAGTATTGTCAATGCATTCAAATGAATGGAAACTTAATTTTTATGAACTAATTGTTTGAACCCATTATCAGACGGTTTTGTTAAGAAGTGGTCAGCCGATGGTCGGAACCAATTCCAAGAGATGCAAAGACGACGAGAAATTAATTAATACAGTATTAGGTTCTGGAAAGAGGGGTTATATCATAGAAACGCGAACTCAAAACTTGGCACAACTCGCGCGCACTAAAGGCGGAGGTTTTGAGCCCGAAGTCCATTACCCACTCTGGCGTCGCGTCCATAAGCCTATAGACAGACATTCAACTCTTTTAGACTCTTTAAGCAAATTAATTGAAGGTATTATTTGATTCACTTATTCATTGTTTTGAAGGCATTTATTTTGATGACAGCCTGTAATGACACGAAGACTTCGATGGATAAATGGTTATCAAGATTAGAGTCTTGTGGTTGGCTGACACACATCAAGGATGTACTCAGTAGTGCCTGTCTTGTGGCCCAATGCATGGATCAAGAATGTGAGTCCCTTTCTATGAAAATATAATGTTTTAATCATTGATACAATGATATGATGTTTAGTGGCCTCAGTCTTAGTGCACGGATCAGAAGGAATGGATTCCACTCTTCAAGTCTGTTCCTTAACTCAAGTCATTCTCAATCCCGACTGCCGTACAGTTCATGGGTTTGAGGCACTGATAGAGCGCGAGTGGTTACAAGCGGGCCATCCATTCGCCACTCGCTGTAAGCACAGCGCGTATACCATTCCCAGCGCCAGAACCAGAGAACAGTCGCCAATATTTCTAGTATTCCTGGACTGTGTCTATCAAATCTTCAATCAATTCAAGTGTTCGTTTGAATTCAATGAGAAGTTTTTGATATATATCTTTGAACAGACATATGGCTCACAATTCGGCACTTTTTTGGGTAATTGTGTTAAAGACCGGAAAGACATGAATTTTGCGAAGAAAACGGTCTCTCTTTGGTCTTACATTAATAGACCGGAAATAATTCACGAGTTTATAAACCC